ATAATTGGTATATTTGGGGCGACAGGGCCGATTACCTGCAGTGGGTTAAGGGAATTTGTGCAGACTATTTTTGGTACTTCCCGAAGAGTATCTAAAGTGTTGTACACTCACTCACTCACTCACTCACTCAGGAGCGGGTCCCCAAGAACCAGGGCTGCATACGGGTCAAAACGGTATTATTATTGAATGTCGTTTCCCAGACACCATGCAACAATGGCGCAATGTTGACGTTAATATTGACCAACGTTAGCTTACAACGTTGGGCCAACGTCGGCGCAATGTTGACGGTAATATTGACCAAAGTTAGCTTACAACGTTGGGCCAACGTCGGCGCAATGTTGACGGTAATATTGACCAAAGTTAGCTTACAACGTTGGGCCAACGTCGGCGCAATGTTGACGTTAATATTGACCAACGTTGGGCCAACGTCGGCGCAATGTTGACTCTAATATTGACCAAAGTTAGCTTACAACGTTGGGCCAACGTCGGCGCAATGTTGACGGTAATATTGACCAAAGTTAGCTTACAACGTTGGGCCAACGTCGGCGCAATGTTGACGGTAATATTGACCAAAGTTAGCTTACAACGTTGGGCCAACGTCGGCGCAATGTTGACTCTAATATTGACCAAAGGTAGCTTACAACGTTGGGCAAACGTAGCTTTGCTCATTGGTCTTGCTTCACCAGAATCCCACTGAAAGGCCATGACGTATGTATACGGATGGATGAGGTAGTATTTACGTAGAGCAGAATTTGGCGAGGACATAAATGTATAATGATTTAGCCAACTTTGCTCATCGGTCTTATTCTGCCGGAATCCCTACGGGTACTGCAATGGCCAATACAATAATCTACGGTTATAACGAACTCTAAGGGACCACTAATTTTAGTTCGTTATAACCGTAGTTCGTTATGAGCATATATACAGCAAATTGACGGAACCAAAATACAATTCGTGATATCCGTAGGTTCGTTATAAGCGTGTTCGTTATAAACATAGTTTACTGTACGTATATTTTAGGGAAAGGTCATATTTTCGCTAGTTTTAGTTACTTATAACCGGTGTTCGTTATAAGCATATATACAGCAAATTTACGGAACCAAAATACAATTCGTTATATCAGTAGGTTCGTTATAAGCATATTCGTTATAAACGTAGTTTACTGTACGTATATTTTAGGGTAAGGTGATATTTGCTAAGCGCACCAACGATAAATTACCAAGCACAACATTGAATGAAACAGTTTCTTAAACTAGCGCCTAAAGTAACAAGGCATCAGGCCATATTAATCGGCAAAGTGTAACGGATTACTCGAACACACAGACAGGTCTCATGCACTCCATAATGACTATCTGTAACCACTGCGGACATGCTGTAATCACGAGTCAATACAGGCCCATTGAATCGTTGATAAGATGATCCTATCAGGTGTAACAAGGGAGTGTAGTTTGCCCATGCTGTAGTTCGGTGACCTCAAAATGATATAATGTTTGTGTGCGTGACAATAATGTTATCGATTATCTTGACTGCACCGGGTAAATACTCCCAACACGCACCGCCTTCACACCACTCGGGGGAACGGTTATCTCACTGGGGGTCCTATGTTCTTTTTAGGGAGAATTTCGAGACGATTAAGATATAAAAAAATATTCGATCATAAAATTGATTGATGTAATAATCGATATAAACGTCATCATCGATCTGGAGCGGTCGGGTAGCCTAGTGGTTAAAGCGTTCGCTCGTCGCGCCGAAGATCCGGGTTCGATTCCCGACATGGGTACAATGCGTGAAGCCCATTTCGCCGCTGGAATATTGCTAAAAGCGGCGTAAAACCATACTTACTCACTCATCATCGATCTCTGCTATGTATGGCCACATATGACAATTCTCTTCTGCCTATCGGGGAGGTGTAGCCTTCTGGTCAAAGCGTTCGCTCGTCACGCCGAAGGCCCGGTTTCGAATCCCGACATGGGTACAATGTGTGAAACCCATTTCTGGTGTCCCCGTTTGTGATATTGCTGAGATATTTTAAAGCGGCTTAAAACAATTCTCACTCACTGACTCTTGTGCCTGGATGTCTAATGAATGAGACACGCCCTGCAATGATGACGTCATTAAGTAGTCTATCTGTTTTCAGCCGATACCCGTGACGCTTCATTCACACTATACTGACTCCGAGCCGGCCAGGTATGACGTGGCCGGGCATCGAACCCCGGACCTTCCGCTCTCCGGGCGGACGCTCTACCACTAGACAACGGAGGCTGGGTCATACACGTTGGAAATAATTTGGATATGTCTGCTCAGCAAATATCACGGTGTCGTTAATACATGCTGGGGAAGTGACGTATGTTACTGGAATAGTCCGATCATGTATTTTCCTTTACATCTGACTCGTGACTCATAACATGAGCGTTCGGGTAGCCTAGTGGTTTAAGCGTTCGCGGGTTCGATTCCTGACATGGGTACAATGTTTGAATATTGCTAAAAGCGGTGTAAAACCATACTCAATCACTCACTCATTCCCACTCCCACTTCTAATTCACTAGAGCGGTCGGGTAGCCTAGTGGTTAAAGCGTTCGCTCGTCACGCCGAAGACCCGGGTTCGATTCCCGACATGGGTACAATGTGTGAAGCCCATTTCTGGTGTCCCCCGCCGTGATATTGCTGGAATATTGCTAAAAGCGGCGTAAAACCATACTCACTCACTCCAATTCACTGTGCAGAGTGCCAAAAAATTAATATCAGGGGTTCGAATTCCAGATACGGCTTTTCTATGCTCGTCACCACCATACCGATGCTCTTGAATGTTTCAAAAGTGCAAAACATCTGAGACTCCATCACTTCGGGCTTTTCTCAAACATTAAGCGGGGTCACGGTTGGCCCAGTCGTCTAAGGCGCCGCGATTCGCTGTGCAGAGTTGCGTCCCTTAGGCACGCCAGAAACCTGTGATTGTGGGTTTGAACCCCGGTTCGCCCCGATTATGTTTCTAGGTTTGTCAGCACCATACCCGTGCTCGTGGGTTTCACCGAAGTGGTAAACGTCTGACACCTGCATCACTTCGGGCTTTCCTCCCACATTAAGCTGACACGCCGCGATATAACTGGAATATTGTTAAAGGCGGTGTTAAACCCAACTCACTCACTCACTCAAACATTAAGCTGACACGCCGTGATATAACAGAAAAGCTGTTTAAAGCGGCGTTGAAACGCGAGCTCACTCTGATATGTCGGTATGACTGTATACGGCCGCCTGTGGATGTAGCAGTATGTGCAGTGTTCCTTCCTTACAAACATTATCCACGCTCCGGTGGAAGCTTAATTCCGGGATTATCCTGATCTGGACAGGGTGAGCCCTGCGACCGAGCAGGGACAATACTGTTCTGGCATGAAGATCATGTTGCGTTTGGGCGAACTGACAGACTCTTATTTGCGTTCATGGAGAAGTTCTACATAGATGGAGAACCAAATAGCGTCTTCACATTGTAAGCCATCAATAGGCACTTTTAGACATGAATATTTTAAGATAATTTTATATATACTTATATATTTAAAATAAAAAGTTAAACAAAAGTGAATTATTCCTTTCTCATTGCGTTCGTGTTGCTTTTTTTCAATCGAGTGAGTCGGATCTCCTTGAGATTAATCTCTGTAAAAGCGTTTGGATTGTGATAAAGTTATTATTGAAGACTTGGCTTAGGCCTGCTGGCAGTCCTGGTAGGTTGGCTATAATTTATTATTTTTTGTTTGTGGTTGTTTAAAGCGGAGCGGTCGGGTAGCCTAGTGGTTAAAGGCTTCGCTCGTCACGCCGAAGACCCGGGATCGATTCCCGACATGGGTACAGTGTGTGAAGCCCATTTCTGGTGTCACCCGCCGTGATATTGCTGGAATATTGCTAAAAGCGGCTTAACACAATACTCATTGACACTGTTTAACGCCGCACTCAGCAAAATTCCAACTAGCGGTTTGTAAATACTCGCGTCCGGACAAGTTCCAGCGATTGACAAAATGAGCATCGATCCACGCAATTTGGATACGATGACATGCATCAACCAAGTCAGCGAGCCTGACCACCCGATCCCGTTAGTCGCCTCTTACGACAAGCATAATCGCCACTTGTGACGAGCATGGGTTACTGAAGACCTCTCCTAACCGGATCTTGACGGCACGTTTTATTATTTAGATAAAATCCTATTTTCATGCGTATACTTTCGTTTGCCCGCCAGTTTATATATATAATCCTCATACATTTCTGAATGTTTGGATATGCTGATGTTCGTAAAATGACAACACGTCTATAACTTGTTCCAGTCGGACAAAGACTCTTACCATATCTCATTCTTTCTTCGAATAATGGACCGCCTCCGTGGTCTAGTGGTAGAGCGTCCGCCCAGAGAGCGAAAGGCCCGGGGTTCAATCCCCGGCCGCGTCATACCAAAAGACGTTTAAAATTACTTGTTGTTACCCTGTCTGGCATCAAGGGGCTAAGACTGGTCGGCTCGGAGTCAGTATACTGTGTCTGAGTGGGGTATTCATGTTAAACTGCGGCATGGTATCTCAGTGAGCTAGCACTATAAATCGGCATCAGTCCGGACTAGTACGAACAGACACACACACACACACACACACACACACACACACGTGTGCATGCACGTCGCTATATACGTGCAACAATCTTGGACGCGACGTTAAACCCTATTTCACCTCACCTCACCTCTTAGAATAATGACAATTAAAAACAATTCGTTCTGATGTTACTTAAAACCAATTAATTGGTTCATTATAACTAACACCAATATACAATAACGTAAGAATTTAAACTGTTCAAAGGTGGTCGCGATGATTGCTGCGTTAAGTGACAAGCACCACGGACCTATATTATACAAGTCCGTGCAAGCACTCACTTCACTTTGGTTTCCTTCCGCCAAGAACGTTGTTCCTGTACTGGTGTATATCGCTTCGCCCAAATGCAGCCAGCTATTGCCTGGTCGCCTGTGAAGTCACTCCGCGATCCACTCAGAATGGCGGGGGCAGAACCGTCCTCCTCACATAGCACCGTGTCGTACTCGGGTAGTTCGCTGTAGACATGCTCCTCGCACTGGATGTACACACGTAGTTACCACCACACAAAATGACGAGTGAGTATTTTCTTTCGCAATTTTTGTCCATCACAAGGTATATATTCCAGCGTAAAAACAGTCCAGGACCTTTTTTTTCATGTAAATTATCATTTAATATCGTGCTTTTTAAACGAAATAGAATTAATTCTTAAATTTTGATGTGCACAGTGTGTTGTTTTATATATTGGTAGTGCTGATTAGTAACTTAGATTTCAGTCGCTGTACCCTCGAGGGGGGTTGACGTAGCGTGAAATTATTGTCCCCCATAGATGGTGTGTAAGTTCCACATCATTTAAAGTATTTCTATACATGCGAGACTTTTAAAAATAGTATTTTTGTCATTATACCTTGATGGCCGACCTTGCTTACAATCGCCAGCAGTTGTTAGGGTGGTGTTATTCCTGCTGGGGAACCGTGCAGGTAGCAGAAGTATTGTAAGTCCCCTCGGTCCCTGGTATGGTGGCTTAACTGTGGTCGAGGGCGATCTGTAGCCGTTTTTTGTATTGTGCTGTTATTTGATGGTTTATTCTTTTACATGCTCTAAAACTAGTTTCAAATACAATCTGTAATAATCTAGGTATTGTACTGTCCTTCGATGACAGGATTTTATACACTCTAAATATATTTATTATTAAAATGCTTTTGTCTCGTCATGATATGGCTAAAATATTGCCGATATGACGTAAATTTTAACTCACTCACTCGATCAATTTTGCAATGTTTGATATGTATAATCGTATATGAAGGTAAAAGAATAATCTTAGGTATAGTAAAAATATAAGTGTATTATTTTATTATTATTATTATTATTATTTTTATTTATTATTTTCCTTCCACCTAACAGTGTGGCGTCAGGCAACAAACAAACACTTATTATTTTATTAATGTATTTTATGCAAACTGTGTTGAACAGGACATGCTTACCCGTTTCGCGAACACCTGGTGTCATTACTGATTTTTAGTGATCCCTTCGTGTAATTTTAACTGCTATTTTGCCTTATCCGTCCAATGGAATTTACTTTGGCGGATAATCGAGACAGGTTATTTTTAGTCTTCGACGTCTTATGCTCACATCGTCACCAACAGGTGAAGAAATAATTTACCTGATTATATACAGTAAACTACGGTTATGACGAACTCAAAGGGGCCACTAATTTTAATTCGTTATAACCGGAGTTCGTTATTATTAAGCATATGTACAGCATATATACAGTAAATGGCCGGGACAAAAAAAATAAGTTCGTCATATCCGTCAGTTCGTTATAGGCGTGTTCGTTATAAAAGTTGTTTTGTGTTCGAACAAGTAGTCAGAGACAGTCCTATGTACATAAAGTGACTTAACTGACTTGTCGTTCAAATAGTAGGAATTAAACTATTCATGATACCCGTTAAACACAAATGTCCTGTAATCTAATACTGATTTTTACGATGTTTCGTCATATTGCGTTAGTTGGCATCACCTTACACACACACTACACTCAAGGTAGAATTGATCCCAAACATTCAGACACAGTTGTCACGCCGGTTTAGACATACTGGGGATTCCTGTTAGGAGACCGCCTCCGTGTCGTAGTGAACAGAGCGCCTGCCCGTAGAACTGAAGGGCGTTGGTTCGATCCCCGGCCGCGTCATACAAGAAGACTTTTAAAGATGGTACCTGTTGTTACCCTGCCTGGCGCTCGGTATGGGGGGGGGGGGGGGGGGGGGGGGGGGGGAGGGGAGTGTAAACAAGGACTGCTTAGGGGTAAAACAAGGACTGCCGGGACTGCCACACTGATCCGGGTGGAATAGGGAACTGGTCCCCAGTATGTCTCACTGATCCGGGTGGAATGGGGAACTGGTCCCAGTATGTCACACTGATACGGGTGGAATAGGGAACTGGTCCCCAGTATGTCACACTGATCTGGGTGGAATAGGGAACTGGTCCCAGTATGTCACACTGATCCGGGTGAAATAGGGAACTTGTCCCCAGTATGTCACACTGATCCGGGTGGAATGGGGAACTTGTCCCCAGTATGTCACACTGATCCGGGTGGAATGGGGAACTTGTCCCCAGTATGTCACACTGATCCGGGTGGAATGGGGAATTAATACCAAGTATGTCACACTGATCCGGGTGGAATGGGGAACTGGTCACCAGGATGTCACACTGATCCGGGTGGAACTGGGATCGGTTGGTCAAGTTAAGCCTGCTTGATTATGCTATCGTACCCGGACAGCGTGGAACGTTCTTCATACTATAATGACCAAGTCTCTAAAATGTCCAGGTCGCCATGACGTGGCTTGAATATAACTGACTTTGTCGTTGACCAGAACACAAGCCAAACTAAATATTCAAAACCCACCAACTCTTTTTAACGTTTTGAAAGTTGTTGTGTGATCAGTAGGAAAGGAAAGCATATTGATTTTTATGAACGAAATATTTTTCTCAACTTAAGTTTTTACTTAAGCTCAAATTTGTCATGTGAATATTATAAAGATGACTATAACTGGTGCTTATTATGGGGGTCACAACAACCGGAGCTTACTGTGAGGGTGACTATAACTGGAGCTTAAAGACGACGTTGATCCTGGAGTCAATCCCTCTGGTCTCACTGCGAGTTACGTACAGATTATCCCAATTAGCAGGGGACTTATCCGCAGACTACACAGCAGGAGTAATAACATAACATGGTCGAGGGTTCAATCTCAATATACTCGGTTCGGTTCAAAACGTCATACGTTGTTACTGTTCGTACTAATCCGACTGTCTACGCCGTCAGTAATCAGATAACGACGTGTGGATTTGTGTTTGTTGGACGCGAACCTGGGCCTCGGTCAAAGCGTCCTCGCCGAATTCTGCTTGTTTGATCCGTATACATACGTCATGGCCTTTCCGTGGGATTCTGGTGAAGCAAGACCAATGAGCGAAGCTACGTTGAACCAACGTTGTAAGCTAACTTTGGTCAATATTAACGTCAACATTGCGCCAACGTTGGTCCAACGTTGCATGGTCTCTGGGAAACAACGTTCACTAATAATACCGTTTTGACCCGTATGCAGCCCTGGTTCTTTGGGACTTGCTCGCGATCCTCTTGAGTGAGTGAGTGAGTGTGTGAATCGGTGAGTGAATATGAGTGAGTGAGTAGGTGGGTGGTTTGGTAGGTGAGTGAGTAATCGAATGAGTAAGTGAGTGAGTCGTACTCATGTACGGAATGACCACTAGTTTGACTCGACTGTTGACAGGCTGACGTGGTACAGCTGGAGTATTCAATTCGGTCTTCACCAACCCATGCTTGCCGTAAAAGGCGACTGTGCTTGTCGTAAGGGGCGACAAACGGGATCGGGTGGTCAGGCTCGCTGACTTGGCTAATGCATATCATTGATCCCAATTGCGTGGATCGATGCTCATGATATTAATCACTGGATTGTCTGGTCCAGACTCGTTTATTTACAGACCGCCGTCATATAGCTGGAATATTGCTGAGTGCGGCGTTAAACAACCAACCAACCAACCAACATTCACTAACTCACTCACTTAAACTCTTCCTCTACTGACGGCAACTATCAGATCTCGTGAGGCTAATACTTCTTGACTGTTAGTATAACTGCACGAAGGCAGAAAACACTCACTCACTCACTCACTCACTCACTCACTCACTCACTTTGTTGAGCGAGGCCCAGGATGGAATCTAACCTCCACGTGACCATATCCACATGTCCTTATCTGATTACTGTTTCAGATCGTCGGATTACTGCGAACATTAACAACGAGTGAACCGAATCCAAAATTGAAAATAGCATTTATGTTTTAATGGCTCTCGAACTGTCATGGAGTCGTCACTATTGTTTCCCTGCCTCGGCATAGAGTCCCGAACTTATCAGATATCTGGAATCGGTGTAGAGTCCCGAACTTATCAGATATCTGGAATCGGTGTAGAGTCCCGAACTTATCAGATATCTGGATTCAGCCTAGCGTTACAATAATGTCCCTTGCATGTTTCTCCTCCCGACCATGTTTTGAAATAGACACAATGTTATCATCTGATCGGTTGTGCTACCTGCCCTCAGGTGCCTAATTGCAAAATACAGGTGTCATTCCAGGTATGTTATTACCTGATCGCTGCTGTAGGTATGCGTTCATTAATAGATAGACTTTCAAATCGTACAGCTTTAAGAACGCTACTAAAAAAACATACATTATTTACAAGTTGGCATTATCTTGGAGGCACATAGGTCAAGGCGAAAAAGGTAACTTTTTTAACCAGACAAAATAATCATTCTTCAAGACAGGTGTACATAACCTTTGTATGTCAAAGTTGTATACCACTATTGTCCTTGATTGAATTGTGGTGTGGGTTGTGTTTCATGAAAGGGACAACACCATTTGTATAGTCATAAGAAAGTCATTGTACGATTCAGACTACAGATTAGCACGTGTTATGAATCGCTATCGAATAGTGATGACACCAGGTGTTCGCAAAAAGGTGAACTTATCCTGACCCACCGGTGGCACCCGTCACAAACACACGCAAAGGCATTTGTGGTATTTACTCATAACAGGGGTTCCTCAAAGTGGCTGTAAAGTCATGATGATGATGATGATGATGATGGTGGTGGTGGTGAAAAAGAAAGAAGTATGATCCAATTGCAGAAGAGAGTTCTCAATACAAAGTAGAGCATAAATACAACAAAAGAAGCGAGCTCATTTCCACCTGTCGCCATGGTAAACCCCCAAGCCGAGCAAAAAAGAAAGGGTCAAACTAAAAACCATGTTTCATTATGCCTGATGATCGTACGCAATACCATGGGTGCGTGAAACTCAGAGTTGCAAAATGATATAAGGAAAGGGTATCCAAATCTGTATATATATATATATATATATATATATATATATATATATATATATATATATATATATATATATATATATATATATATATGGCCTTATATATACTCTAAATGGTTTTTATGGTATATTTATTTATCTACTTATTTATTTTATGAAATCCCCGTATATATATATATATATATATATA